CCCAAAACCCCAAAACCCCAAAACCCCAAAACCCCAAAACCCCTCACCTAATAATTTTAGTTGAAAATGATTGTTAAGGAGTAATTAATTTATAGAGGTGATAGAAATTCTCCAAACAACTTTCCTTCTTGAATCTGTGTCTGAAGCAATTCTATCATGTATAGCTTTAAGGCATGCCTCAAATCGATCTCCGAATTTATTTCAGATATTATAGTATCAACTAGCTTTGACATTTCAAGGCCTACGATCGCATTCCATGGGGCCAACTCTATGATGTCCATGTCTTTAGTGGGGGATTTAAGAAGGTTGACCTTGACCGTTTTGCAAATCTCTTTGGCTTTTAACAGAAATTTAATTTTAAAAGAGCTGCTACAGATCACATTTTCAACAACTCTGTCCTTTGGTACAAAGGGCTTAGTGGTTTTCTTAGTGGACTTGGGAATATTTGGGTTCTCTATCCCCTTCTTTGGAGCAGCCTCATGACCATGCACCTTACTCTTTCTCTCAGCCGCGACTGCAGAGGGAGTAGTACGGTCAAAAGCATCACTTCTTGAATTTTTAGTCAAATCACTTGCCATTGAAGTGTTAGATTTATCTGTCATTGCAGAGGTAACTGCTTCAAATTTATTTATTCTTCTGAAAATTCTTGTATGGATGATTCTGAATCCTGTTTTTGTTATTTACGAAACTTATTGTCCTCTTTCTTCAATGAATTGGTAAGGTAATCTTCAGGGCTATCCCACTCATTATAATATTGAGACTGCCTGAAGTCTCTCTTACTAGTAGTTTCGCTCTGAATGCTAATAGTATCTTCATCTTTCTTCCTATTATCAAATTTTTTCTGTCCGCCATAGTATTTCTTCCACCCCTTGTGATTGTTGGGCTTAGTGTCAATAAGTCTGTTCTCTTCAACATTTTGCGTCTGGCAGGAGACTGTATCAAAATTACTAGTATTGGAGGACTGGAAGTTCTTTCTTCTTCCTCCTCTGTGGCCTTTATAACCTCCGCGTCCTCTGCCTCTACCTCTTCCTCTGCCTCTGCCGCGTCCCCTATAATATCTATTCCCTTGGAAATCCATTTTATTAAAATTGTAGTAAATTTTTATATAAATTTTAACAAAACTTGAGATGGGGTTTTGGGGTTTTGGGGTTTTGGGGTTTTGGGGTTTTGGGG